CCTTAATATCTTCGGCACAGTCTGGCGCGAATTGATTAAGCGTTTCGTAATAAAAAGATTTTCGTCGGCGTAAAAATGCAGTATGCTATGCGGTTAGTAAAACCAGTTCTTTGATGCGCGCTCTTCTCTTCTCGTATCGTCCTTTCCTTGTTAGTGCGCCCATGATCGTACATAGGATCGTATATGCATATGTTTGCTCAAGGCGTTTCTCGTACTCGTTTCTATCTGCACCCATATCGAAATCCGGTATATCGAGATTGCAGTAAACGAAAAGACAAATTTTACACTTCTTCGTTAGACTCGGTGCAGAAGGGGTAGACGAGATGTGTATGAAGTACACACTGTCACAGGTTGGTCGAATAAAATGGCAATCGAGAAAGCTTAACGTATAATGTCACAGTTTATTTGAATCATTTGTATATATATATGTGTGTACGCAGCTTGGTGTCCCTTGACAAGAAAATTGTTCCGCCAACCATCACATATTTATGACGTGCAAATGTGTTAAGGGCATTAAGCGAAATCCAGTTCCACTGGTTTCACTGTCTACCCCTTCCGGCGTGGGGGATTCGTATGTTGGGAATCACGTTGGTAGCCATCTATCAATCGGGACACAGAAACGTGCCTTTCCTCGCGGCGCTCCTTATTTATGGCGGAATGATCGACCCGTAATTATAGACTCCGTGACGAAAACGACCTTCTGCTTATCTAAACAGAGGGCTGCGGTACGTGGCCACTCGTACCGGGTCTCGAGCATTTCGGAAATGAACCGCAGAACTGTTCATTTCACGCATCAATTGCATGTTTATTCGTGTTCGCCGCTCGTCGGATGATAGCTACTTATCTTGGACTCTTGGAGATTCCCTACTACTTATACATCAAAGATGACCTATATGCTTGCGGCTGCGTGATTTTGCCAACAGCAAGGACGGATTATTTTTACAACTTCCGAAACAGTACGGTGTAATTTGGAAAAACATCAAGTGTAAAGAAATTTAATGTTGCTGAATATTTTCAATAATAATAAATCGTTAAATTTTCATCGAATCGGAAAAGTTTTTCTCTTTACATATCTTAATATTTGACAAACTGTTAAAATAATTATTAAAGCCATGGAAAATATGAGATATGTCCATTCTTTTTATAATAAACGGATAAATAAAATATTGGGATAAAAATTTGAACACTAAGTATATTCGATACAGCAGAGAGGGAGGAAATATTGATGAATAATACAAAAATTAAAATTCCAGAAATCACAGATTACCAGTTTTTTGCCATCGATACGACTTTTATAATAAAACTCATTATTTTTTTGCACAACCGTTTTTATATTATTATAGTTTCGTTTATCGAAGAGACTAATCGGTATATAATTATAGTTTCTGTAAGGGTAAGGCCACTATTCCCACTTATCTATCTAATCATCTCGCTTTTTTAAAATGTCCTTTTTTCTATCTGTTATTTCTTCCGGATTATCTGCATGTTAATCGGCAATCAACTAGCAAAATAATTATGCTTTTATTTGTACAATGATAATCCATTTGAATCCAATTATTATAATCACACAAACGTTCTACAAAAATTATTTATCGCAAAACCAAACTGTAATTTACATTAATTACATTAATGACATTAACTATACACACGCGATATTTTAATATTATTAAAATATGTATATATACATATATATTAGAAAATTTTTAATTTGATTAAAAAAAAGTTTGGTAAAATTTTTGTTAATTAATATTAAAGTTCTCTTATCGAAATAATATAAATTTTTGATTGCTAATTTAAACATAATGTAGAAAAATGTACACAAGACGCAATTTTTAAACTAGATTCTCTTATTCGTCTCTTTCGATATTGATGAACAGTTTATTTGTTTAGTGTTCAAATGTTTATTCCCTAGCAGCCAACTTCAAAAGCATCGTAACAGTTGGACGAAGTCTAAACAGAATGCCTTATGTCGATAAACGTACAAATTAATTATTTTCCTTTCAAACTAATTTAGTATATCTGAATGCAACTTTGATTAATTTTCTCAACTTTGAAATATAATTTTTTCTACGTCTTCCACAATCATGTCCAAAATTTACAATCGTTAATATATTTCGGTTGAAAAATTGCTGAGACAAATTTTTGACAAAAGGATTATTTTTCATAAAAGAAAAGACATTTTTGAAAAATGTGTTCTAACCGGATTGCACAGTTGGAAATGTCAATCTTTTCTCAAACGAAATCTCAAACGGGAGACGGAAGAAAGACAAGTCGTCCTCTGTCAAGAGAAATTTGACCTTGTAAGTCAATATTGCACTTGATAACTATTTCAAGTGTATGTTTAAGTAAGGACCATTGCATTCCATGCATTCGCACAAGATTTATGATTACTTTGCTTTCACTCTTTGCTCCACAGTAATTACTCTCGCGTTAAGAGAATTTACAATGGCATCACTCACGACGGATCATTATTATTATTATTAGCGTATTATTTACTCAATGTTCCCCGGGACGGCAAATTTTTCAATATTTATATTTCATCTGCTTGAGAGACGAAGATAAAATCTATTTTTCATTACACTCCCATTAATCATCGAAGATATCGCCGCATTAATTATAATACGCCAACGTTCTCAGATTTCAGCATCGTTCGTGGTTCAACAGTTAACATTCTCCATTGCAATCGAAAGTTGATAATTTTTTCTAACTTTATTCACATATCGTACAAAGTATATACGCGACGTTTCGATAATACTATACCTCTCTATAATCAGCCTTAAACGGCACGCGCGAAATAATTTCGAACCAGGGAAGAAAAGGGGGTCGTAAGAAGGTAAAGGTAAGAGGATGCTGCATTAACCGGGCGGACAATCTCGATGCGAGCGATCTTCCTCGAGACAGAGTGAGAGAGAGAGGAAGCCGAAAACGCGTACAAGAAAGATCCGAAGAGAAGAGAGCGTATCCCCGTGTTTGGGGGCCGAGCCCGAACGGGGTCCAAGAAGGCCTTCGTTCCAAGAGCTAAACCCGAGAGAGGACCTAGAAGGAGAGAGAGAGAGGAAGGCACAACCAACCAACCCTCTTTCCTCCTCGCGCGCCTTACAATGCAGCCTGATTTATGGCCCGGGCGCACATACATAGAGTTACACACGATATCATAATACCATTAATTCTTCGTCAAATTCCCCGCTGACTGAATCATACTGGCCATGCAGTAAATCACGCGGGGCGACTAATGTGAGCGCGACCAGCGCGCTGTTTTATCTTCTTTGAACCACGGGGGCAGGTGAATCTCTAAGTCTCGGGTTCTCTCCTCCCATTTCTCTCTACGTACCGTTACCCGATTTCTGATCGCACCGCCTGCTTTCGGACGCGTTTCCGTATATGTATGCATTATTACGCGATCAGATCCCTCCTGGATAGACGCGACGTACGTTTTGATGCATTTATTAAACACTTACCGAGAGATTGTATTGATGTAAGAGCGCTATTTGCTCGGTTCAAATTATTATTAAGTCTTTGTTCACGTCTAATGTATGTACCCTTCTTGCCCCTTTTTTTTTGTTACATCGTAAGAACGATGGAAATTATATTGCGCGTATTTATTTTAATATTATCTATTTATATAATAATTCATTCGATCGTTTCGTATCTATTTAATAACTATATTAACATTTACCGCAAAGAAACGTCTTGTACATTTTTTCACAGCAATCAAAATCGGATAGTTTCTTGAAGCGCATTAAATTTTTTTTTAGCGATACATGAATAGATAAATTTTAATTTGCACAAAGTTGACCTTCTCACTTTTAGAATAACTAATTTTGACAATTGTGCTGAGTTTGAGACATTTTATACATGCAAATAAAGCATCTTGCAGCTAATAATTTATAACGTTGTGTAGGCAGTTCTTTCTATAATTTTACTCTCTTTTTATAATTTTTAATAGAAATCTAATTTAGATATTTCATATAATTTAATATAATTTTTTTAAATATCTTTAGATAGAATTTCTGTAAGGAAGTAATCTGTATTAAAAAAAAATTCAAATATTAATCTCTGAAGATATGCATCAACATGATAATTATTACGCGCTATTTTTTGAATATGTGTAGTGCATATCCTTCACTTCCAAGCAATATTTATGTAATCTGCTTTTTCAAATAGCAGACTGTAGTTCATTAATTGTCTCGCTCTTCTTATGCAACGGCTATTTAACTTTAACTATTGAATATATACTGACGATGACAGTGTAAGTTATTTATATAACTTAATGCATTTTTCTTAATCTTTTCCTAATATTTTTGCATAGAAGCGTTACAAGGACACGTTATGCAACTTAACGTCATCATGTTGTTTGTGATCGAGAATAAATACCTATATATATATATACACACATATGTGCAAATAGATAGAATTTGTTCTTAAAATCAAGCTATACTCTTTTTAAATGTCGAAATTTATATATCTCGGCTTATAACGCTAAAATATACAAAGCATATTTGAGATAAGAGAGATTGCTATTATGAAGATTCGATAAATTTATGTAAACTGGAATCTCGTATATCTTAGCTAGTAATTTAGTATTTTTACGCTTATAATGAATGGATGACATTTCGAATGTTAAGTAAAATAATTATATGCGTTCGCATTAATATATTAGCCAGCATATCGAATCATATATTAGACTCGAGTTTAAATTTCAAATAAAACAAGATTAAGAGTCTAAAATTTGCAAACAGTCGTGACGATTTTTTTAAATTATAAAAATAATTTATTTTGATTTCTGCTCTTTTGACTCTTTCGATCAAAATAAAAGTTATTTCATTCGAAAACGAGGAAAAGCAGAAGAGATGGGACGTCTCTTGAAATATCAAAACTAAAAAAGTCTCTTCATTTTTTCTTCAAATATTAGCAAGAGATTCGCATAATTTAACAAGAGCTAGATTAAAAAAAAAAGTCTAAGCTACATAAATATACGAAAATAAATTTAAACGACTTACTCTGACCAATGTGAACCCTCTTCATCCAGGGATATATTTGAGGCGGGTTACTGCCAGAAGCGTTGCCCTTGTTGGACGAATTGTTACCCGTGCTAGACGTGCTGGACGTGGAGGAAGCGGGCGACGAAGCGGAAGATGCCGTAGTCAGCGTCGAGTTTCCCTCGCCGACACCCCTCGAGCTTCCGCTCGGCGGCGAGGCAGCGGACGCGGCCACGGACGACCTTGACGAGCTACCGGGCGGCGAAGTCAGCCCCGACGCGGCCTTACTCGTCCCAGGGGCGACTTGCAAGGGCGTCGGGCTGTTTCTCGAAGTGGACGTGGTCAGATCCTGCGGAGACGCGACGCTGGTGGACGACGTCGAGTCGGCGTATTTACAGCTGGACGTTGACGGGGCTGACGGGGCTGACGCGCCCTGCAACAGGGGTGTCGTCGGATCCGCGTGCAACTGTTGCTGAGGATGATGCTGCTGCTGGGGATGGTGCGGCGTCTGCTGGGCGTGCATCCCGTGTTGCTGCGACGTCGTGGTCGCGTTCAATCGCGGTTGCGGTTGCAATTGCGTGTAATCTATCATCCCGCTCGGCGCTGTGTGCTGCATACCCGAGGCCGGGGTGGCGTAAGGATGCTGAGGATAATGCTGCTGCGGTGAGTAACAAGGCGCGGGATAGCTGGTGGACGCGGCATTCGGATTGTAATATTCGCCACCGGCCGGCGATGCCGCCTGCATCGGTTCTCCAGGCGAATTCGGCGTCGGTCTCGGCTGCTGCTGTGGCTGTTGACCCGCGTAGCATGATGCGAGCGAGCTGACGAACTGATAGGAACTCATTCTCTCCACCTTGTATACCTTCTCCCTCGCCTATCGACAACTGTCACTTTACCGATACTCTTGCACGTCTATGTTCCGTCATTCACGAAACGAAAACAACACCAACGACGTTGCGTTCGATCGATCGTGATTGAACAACGTACGTCGTCATTAAGTATAGGAACCCATAGTCATCACATCGGTGATGACTCTGCCCCGTGACGCGAACGTTCGCGAGACATACGCGGCCGGTTCTCTCTCTCCGACACCTTGTTCGTCGAACGATTCACAGCTATCACGAGTTGTTACACGTGGAGAAACACGTCTCAGAGCGATTCGATAATGAACGAGGGGTTTAGGACTAATAAAGAGGGAGAGAGAGAGAGAGACCGGCAGACGAGCGGCGGCAGGCCTGGGTCGAGCCTGAATCCGACCTGCGAGTCAAGTTTACGAGGGCCACGTGGGCCTGGGCTATAAAACTGTCTTCTGCTTCTTTACGACCTCGGTAGTCGCGATTACCTACAGAGAACTCGTGGGCCCACCGTGCAGTAGCGCGTAACAAACAGCTTATCGAGGTGTCCCATTGATGACGTTGTAAAGTGTTGAATGAAATGACGAGGGTATTTATAAACACCGCATATATATATACGTATATATATATACATGTATATACGAAGCGCGTATTTAAAATTATAATCGGTGCGATTGATTAACGAATGAATTAATTGACGACGATGTGTCACAAATGTTGCACTTAACAACGGACGACTTGGTAGCGCGACAACGGCTGTATACTCGTATCACCACGGCGCAGAGGGTGAAGAGTATATCGCGAGCGCGAGCGTTCGCCGTTCCTGTTGCGTGCGCGAAGGGTGACTGCTATCGTACTGAAGGCCCTCGTCACGATCCAACGGAAGACCGGTGTGTGCGGTAGCTTGTCACGTGCCCGCGCTCTCTGCGTGTCAGAGGAGCGCCTCGACCAATCCCTGCCGTTCGTCAAACCTTGATTGGTCTTTCCGTCGGCGTACGATTCTTCAACCCCGTTCCTTGCGTCTCCGTCGAGTCTCCGCTGCCGCTGGCGCTCGTCGTGTGGTGGTGTTGCCTGGCTGCTACCCGACGTGACAGGAACCGATGAGAGGGGTGTGCGTAAGAGAGAGAAAGAGGGCGAGAGAGGGGTCAAGGAGAGGGGATAGCACCGTCAGGGGGCTAATGGAGAGATATTCGGGAGTTCTGAAAACCGCTGGTGGGGGAGAAGTATCTCGATCGCTCTCTCGTTCTCCTCTGCAGCCTTCTAGTCGCGACGTCACCAAGAAGCAGTCTTCCGTCCGCTCTGCGAGGGGGGCTACGCGCGCACGCGCCCCCTACTGTATAACCTCGCGGTGAAGACAGATGAAAAAGAAAAGGGGTGGCACACACGAAAGCGCGATTGTTCTTTACCGATCGACCGAAAACTATTCGCCCGTTTAATTTATCGCCGTCGACTTCATCGTCGTGAGATCCATCTCGGCTCGAGCATAACACGTACCCGTTTTCTTTACTCGATTAGGGGGATGAAGGAAGAGAGTACGTGGAGTCTTAGGAGTGCGAATTGCCGCATGTCGTCATTCGCGGGATCGCGAATCGGGAATACGAGCGAGCGAGTAGAGCGTACACTTCCGTAGACCTTCTCTTTCCGGGACCACGAAGATTGTGCGTCGTCTGATCTTGCGTCGAACGGTTCGCGATGGAATCGTGATCGTCGCGCGGCGGATCCAACCTGAGAGCGCGTGGTTCTCCAACCGCGACTAAGGAAGGGGCGCACATAAGTCAGCCCGGTGGTCGCGGCTGACAGTTTTATGAGAGTTTGATAGTCTTCGCTGCTCGCTCCTCTTTTCACGAAAGGACAGGATGTCTGCGCGAGAGAAAGAGCGGCCTAGAACGGGAAAGAAAGGTGTAAAGGGAGGAAAAAAGAGAGAGAGAGAGAGACGCGCACTACGCACCACACTCTTTATTGTCCCATAAATTCAAACCTGTTGCCTGTAGCCGAGAAAGACAAGGAGGGAAGAGCGTGCACGAGGTAGAATCCTCTCCCAATCGCGATTCGATTGACGCCCCCGTTATCGTTCGTACGGCGAACCCGGACGCAACTCGTAACTCACTGAGCCGACCGAGAGGAGAACCTTCGGAGTTGGCGGCTCAAACCAGAAGCATGTGTGACGTAGTAGCCAGTTGGTCAAACGGGGGGCACGCCGGGGTAGCAACGGGGCGGAGGGGACGACTGAGGAGGCGGAGCTCTCTTTGCTCGTCGCGCAGATAAGACTTTAAACAAGTTCTTTACAGCGTTCAACAAAATTTCTTTGACACATACTATAACAATGTAGCCCCTATATTTCCTTCTCGCGATTAATTTTTTGTTTTACGTTCAGATCATTTTGCACCCCTTTATTTATTTATTTATTTATTTTTTTTAATTCCTCTTCATACCTATTTCTTATATCGATGATATGATTATTGGAGTAATTGGTCTTATGGGAAAGTAACACATTTACAATCGTAATGATTGGTAGGTCTCCTAGTCACCCCTAGGTTAAAATCTAGATGTTTCGACAATTTTCCAACCCCTGGTTCTTTCATTCGTCTTGATATTTCTACCATGTTGATTTGTAGATCGTTTAGGACATTTAATTTGCGGCAATTAGCAATTTGGAAGGAAGGAGAACGTTTTGAGTAGAAGCCGATAGTGTGGCAGTTGCTCGCCAGATGTGGTGAGTGCGGCCGTTCTCGTTGAATTGTGGCGCGCGCCCGCCCCCGGCCGTCCTACCCTTTCCCTCTTCTTCTCCCCACTTAATCGTTTGCCCCCTCCGTTCAGACGAAACTGGCTATCTTTTCCACTTTGAGTCGTCGCATCTGTGTACGTACACGGCCGGGTATCCCCCACTCGTTCCATGGTATTCGCCACTTCAGAGTCTGTGCTGTTTGTCCTACACCTACTATCACTTTAGACCTCTTCTTTCGCGCGGCTGATGAAAAATCGTGATCCAAGGATCGCTAAACGGTGGACCAAAATGCCATTCAACGATCAACACGTAACAATGCGTCTATATGTTATTGTATCTTTGGAGCAATATTATTTACTGACATTATATGCAAATTTTATCCTAGTTTCTATTTTGATAAAAAATATCGAAATATACTTTATTATTACGGACTTTCTTATAAATTGTATTATCAGAATTAGAAAGGAGAAGAAAACAGTATATAGTTTATGTAAATCTTCTTTAATCACATAATTGTCTCACTTTATTATTTGGCAAAGCAAGTAAAAATGTATTTCGATGTAACACAGTTGATGCCTAATGATGGTAAAGTTCTCCTCCACAAAAGGTAGGACCTAACCGGGCTATTTTGGGCGATTGGAGGCACATTGCCTTCAAGTCTCGTGTCACTCTTTGCGGTGGACCCTCTCCATTAGAATTTCCAATAAAGCTGTCGCAGGTGTAAAAAAACGTATCAAGACCCCCATGAATCATGCGTCGCAAAGCGGAGCCGCCAAGACACGTGTATCTGTTATGCTTTCTCTCGGTAATTCGCAGGATGGTTTATGCACCCGTTCATACGCCTTCCTCCTCTCTCTTTCTCTGCACTACTATAATCTGCCCCACTATCATCCATTCAGTGTCAACGGGTCGATGACTCCGTCGAAGCAATTATTATCATTGAAATTAGGTTTCAATCATGTGCAAGAAGAATGATTCGAGTCATCTATAAATGTTTGACCTCCGGGCAATTGCAAATTAATAATGTGACGTCACAAATAAATAAGTCGAATATAGGAAGAACTTTAATATCGATTCTTCCTCTCTAGGTGGCTGATACTATCGCTACATTATTTTGCGTCAACATCACGCGTGGGTTTATAGAGGTTGTTCATGACGGGACTTTTCCGTCGGAGAGCCATATAATCTGTGTCATCATCCGTTCGACAATCACGAATTTAATGTATCGGGCCGAGGCAATTGTAATTATCAAGTTAAGATTCCGGAGCATCCGTAACCGGTTTACGCACAGTTCTGTGAACGAATACACGTTATGAATTGATAAGTAGCTCGTACAGAAATATAAATTATATATTTGTTCAATCATGAAATCTGCAGGATTTACAAAAATTCGTACACAAGACAAGAAAACATTTTTTAACAAAAAATATAGATGGACAAAACATAAAAATGTAATTGTATTGAACATTTTTACATATGTATAGTGTGTAAAAATTTAAGAATTATTTCTTGCTTTAGCAGATAATTTTACTATCAATTTACTATATCAAATAATATTTTATGTATTTATATAATTGGGAAGAGATAATCAAAGATTTCGAACATTTAAGTATTTAAATTTTTAAATCAAATCTGAATAATTCTGAATGATCTAATGATGAATGATTCTGATTATCGGATATCTAGGATGTAATAAAATCAAAGAATAGAAGAAATAAAAATGAAAATTCTAATTAAAATTATGTTAAAATAAATTGCAAATTTGCAATTATAATTAATGTAAAGTATCATAATATAAAGTAATTCAAAGTTTATAATTTCACATTAGCTACGAGAATAAGTTTTGCATTCCTCTTTTCTTGTCTTGTAAATTAAATGATCGTATACACTAGCCTTCTGTAGTCGATAATAGGAAGGATTTCTACAAAATTACTAGGTTTATTAATAAAAATATTTTTGCAAATCAAATTACAATTATTTCTTTTAATTTGGAAGAGAGGGAGTTTGACCCTAAAACCACCCCTAGGATCCGCCAGGGTGTATATACATGTAAATTTTTAATAGACTATTTAATTATTACATATATATTTCTTTTGCTTTTCTCTCTCTCTTTCTTCGCTTCTAAAATTTTTCATAGCACGCGGAAACAAATTTTACGCAAGAGGATTGGCAGAGAAAAAAATATATTCAATTCGAGGTTCACAGCTAAGACGCGTTGCACAAAAACCAATACGTATCCGCGTGCCGGCCATGATGGATTGTCGGAGCTATGGGAAACTATCTGTCAAGCACAATATCGACCCTCGCTTTCTCTGTCCAACCCCTGCAAACTCAGGGTTCACTCTCGTTGCCGCCGTCCCTCCTGGGGGTGCGTTCTGCAATGTAGGTTTACCTACACATTGCCATACAAACCTTTCTCAGCCCCCTGTTTCCATCCTCTTCCCCCTCTCTTTTCGTTTTCGCCTAAATCTTCGACCATTTCGCGAACAACCTATCTTCTCCTTTATAAGTTCTTTTATTTGCCTGAGAATGCATCTTAGTGCAACGTAAAATTATTATAAAACTATTACAATATTTAAACCTAGAAAAAATAAGAATAATTTTGCACTCACTCATATATATAAATATACGTTTACTGATTCTTTCTGCATTATATATATATGTAGGTATATCTTGCATATTAATTATTATATTGAAGAAATAATCATGTAAATTAAAAACTATAATATAAAAATAATATATATATTAAGATTAGAGTTTGGGAAAAAAACGGATAATAAATGTTATAATTGCCTCTATTCATAAAACACTTAAAACCGATGTTTTAGATGAGCATCGGTTTCACAAGTATTTATATGATACGGTTATTCATATAATGCGTATATGTACTCGTAGAAATATAATCAAGCAAATCGATATTAGTTATAAGTAAACTCTAGAAAAATATGTGCCGCTTAAGCTAACATGTTTGTCACTGCAGTATTTTTTAAAATTAATAATTTAGTAATTTATTTAAAATGTTATATATGTAAATAAATGTACTATATGAATATTTGTATGTCATATGCAAAATCGATCATTATCTGGTGCTTATGATCTGACAGGCAATTATTTATTCGTTATGTTACCCAACTTCTTTTCAAATTCTAATACTAATATATACAATTTTTCTAATAATTAATGTGCAAGATATATATTATTCTTATTATTAAAATTAATATATATTATTAAAATTGGATTTACAATAAAAATTTTCCAGAAAAATAAAAAATACTCAAATTAACAAAGATTATTTTTAATTTTTCTGAAAAGTTTTGTCATAAATCCAATTTTTGTTATTAATTTATTTTTGTAAATTCACACCTATGTGATACAAATGAGGTAGCTGTAAATCTGTCACCATCAAATGAGTTTTGCTCGTTATTAGTCATATCCATTTTTTAATCTCCACGATTGCCACAAGCTTTATTACGATAGAATTACTTAACATTAAATGCGAATGAAAATAGCTATTCAATTTTTATATATTCTACTGTAAAAAAAGTAAAAATTTTTAATGATAGATTGAAAATATTTCGAACTTATATTTAAAAAATAATATCTTTATAATGATATGCATAGTTCCATAAAATTAGGAGTATGACAAAATTGCCGTTTGACAAGCTTAAAATCTTAGGATTTGGGGGATGAATATAGAAAGGGAGCGAGAAAGAAAGAGAGAGAGAGAGAGAGAAAGGAAAGGAAGGAAATGAAGTGGGGAGGATAGCTATGCAGCTGCGCTGTTCACACGGAACAAGATGGTTGAAAGCGTGAAACGTGCGTGGATAGGCGTCCTTCTTTTTTTAATGTTTTAAGTGGTTTTTTTAAAACAATAACTCTTTTTCTTGAATTTTGTTATATAGTGTCACATATGTTTCAAAATAGTACAATGGTTCATATTATACAAGTTCAAGGGCTTTCTACATTTCAAGAATGTGCAGTTAAATAATTATATAGATGTTGATGATAAGTTGTAGCTATATGTGCACAGCATTAACAATTAACTATGCAAGCTTTTTCAAGTACAGTGCAAAAAGAATAAAAACTCTTGGCACAGAATGTATTATGGTTTTTATATTTTTGTGTGCTATAAATTTTAATAAATTAATTATTGTATTGAACTGATAACTTCTTATATTTTACTTATAACGTTATATCAGATATGTATGACTAGAAAAATATTAAGAATATACATTTATAATCAAGTATATTCAATTATTTCAAAAACACTTTTTTCATCTAAATATATAAATAAAAATGTGAAATGTGTTTTAAAAAACTTATATCTATATATATATATTCATAAGTAAAAATTATCCCAACTTTTTATGAGATCAAAGATAAAAGTTTATAAATAAAAACTATATTCTAAATCCATTATAAAAATAATGATAAACAAATAATTCGAAAAGAAGCTTTAGTTCAAAGTCAATCTTCTTATTGATTTTATATATATTATACCTGTACTTAATAATCTTAAAAGTTATTGAAATTTTTGTATTTTATGTTTAAATCACATGTATATCGTAATTTATATACAAGAAATATAGTACATAACGTGCTAATAATCATTAATTATACACGGTCAAAATGTTTTAACAATATATATCACAAAGATTAAAATATATTACTTAATAAAATAAATAATATGAATATTGAATAAGCAAAAATAATCAAAAGTTTATGATTAACTAGATCCAGTATCTCATTTTGCTTAAATGCAAAGTATTTCAATACTTCTCATACTAGAAACAAATATTTTTTATAATATTTACAACAAATTATTTTGCTGTAAAATTAAACTCAATTATTTTATTGAGAGCAAAGAATATTATTGTTGTTGATATACTGTTGGAAACGTTAATGATAATTATTTGTAATTAATAATTAAATAATTTTGCTTCTAATTGTAAAATTTTTTTATATTAAATTCCAACAGTAATATAAAATTTTTTAAAATTTATTTACAACATAGTTTGTGACTATTTTCTGTATATATATATATAAAAAAATGGTTAATTTTTTAAATTCGGACAAAATGACAAAATAAGAAAACTTGCAAGCAAAAAAATTTTTTATAAATTTATCCATTTTTTCTAATTCAATCGAATAAAGAAAAAATATGGATATAAAAATTATAAAGTAACAATTAGTAATTTGTTTAAATATTATTATCCTGCGATATATATTTTTTTAGGTTGCTTTTCACTCGTTATTTGTTATTTACAGGTCAAGATTTCAATTTTTCTAATATTCCAAAAAAGTCGAAAAATTATAAAATAAATATATATTTATTATGTAGAATTTTTATATATATATCTGTACATAGATATGAATATAAGTATATACACAATATAAAAATATATTAATTATATATGTAATATAATATTATATAATAATATAATATTGTATTAATATATTATTATATAGTAAAATAATTAAAGAGTATGTATCGCTTAACTTGTTATTATACATTAGCTGTATTATTTATAAATTATTTTATTATTATTTACAAATTATTTATTAGACAATGATTAATAATATACAATATATGATTTAGTAATATACAATTAATTTTAATTATATACACAATAATTTTTTATATTACTATTTTAGGCTATGATACATTATGATACATAAAAAAATGTTCACAATTAGAAACAAAATTATTAATATAATTCAATGCAAAATAATATTATTAATTTCACGTAATTATCTTTAATAATTGTTTCTAATGACATCAATAACAATATTCTTTGTTCTCGGCAAAAGATTCATAGAAAAATAAACTACTGTAAAGATTATAAAAAATATTGCTTTATTATGAGAAATAATTCTGATGGTATTTGTTAAAATTAGATAGGCAGGATTTTAATTTACTCATTTATAGGCCTCGAACAAAAAATATATAAGCCTGCGAAGTACAGGTAATGTATATATAAGTTAAGCGACAGCGATCTAACTGCGACTATTGTCATTAATCATGAAATTGTGAATTTTATATTATACGTCAAAATATTTTTGAGAATGACGTGTGCAAATATTTCCCGGTAAAACGTAATGTTATTTAAAGAATGTTTCGAAGAAAATGCGGTGTGAACGGCCGAGCTTTTTTGATACCTGAGTTGTAGAACGCTCGTTGTTTCGCTCGTCCATAAATCATAGTGATGCAAGGTCAGCTGCCCCGATCTCGGTCGTCGCGGCATTCCCTCTTTACGAACCGGCGTGAAGGACCAACTGTGTGTTCCGAGTTCGACATAGTGCGTTTCTGAAGGTTATCTCTGACTGACTTCAAAACGCCGACGTGTCTATACCTGAATACATTTGGTTCTTTATTGCAAACTTCCTATGCTTAATATTGCATTTTGGTTTAATATTGCATTTCGGTTCAATATTGCATTTTTGCTGAAATGTAAAAAAATTCAACATTAATCTTTATACATTAGGAAATTATTACTATTTACTAATTATACAATTTCGTCTTTCCTTAATATGTTACAGATAAACGCGTTATAATGATATCAATCAAGAGTTTTTCAATGTTTTATAAATCTATTAATTTATTTATTAAAATAATTATATGAGTGCATCGGAACAAAAGAGAGAGAGAGAGAGAGTTCGAAATAAATATTCTACGCATATGTATATCCGCCAACATAATTTATAAATTCAATTTTTACGTAATATAAAGATCGTACTTACTTTGATATAGTTTTAGACATTGTGATATCGCATTTGAGGCAGACCTTGGTGATAAAATCGAGGGTTATAATAATTTTGGTATGTTTCATCGAATTGTTGCAGAATCGGCTGTTGCGGTTGCGGCTGTTGTGAGGGATTTAATATTTGTTCCTGTTGCATCGTTATCATGCGTGCTCTTAAATCATTTATTGGTGCGGACGTAGATGAAGGCATTAAGTCATTCTGTGTTTCATGCTTCTTAGCCTTCATTCTTCGATTTTGAAACCAAATTTTAATCTGTCGTTCTGATAAAGTTAGTTCTGCAGCTAGCTGAAGACGGCGTAGTTTCGTAACATATTTATTGGTATGAAACTCTTTTTCTAATTCGAAAGTTTGTTTCTGCGAATAAGTCTGCCTCGTGCGTTTCTGCTCTATTCCGGTTGTTGGATTAACTGCAATATTTATATTACAAATTATTTTTTTTTGTTTATATTAAAAACGAGTTCCATGAGACAGATAATATATTCAATTAAAGTAGGATGAAAAATTTTTATGAAACAGTTCTTTTACGATATTATAAACGAATCTATCGAATAGTACAAAATATTAAGAATATCCGAGATGTGTATTTGAGATAATATTTATTTATTTATTTGTTTTTAGTAAGTATTCGATTTACTGTGGCTACTTAATACTTTCTACACAAGTTTTATTATTTTTAGTGCAAATGCAAGAAAATATTAAATAGAGACTATGTAGAAAATTAATAAAATATTTATACAAAATCTAAATCGGTTAAATCAATTTAAATATTTCTTGTATAATCATATCATATAGGCAACATGTTTATATTATTATATTATTATATAGCGACTTACCATTAGTTTTGTTTACCCACGCAAACGAAGCGGGACCGTTGTTAGAGGAAAGTTGCTTTTGTCTGTCTCTGTGTCTAGGTTTTTCTTTGTAATTATTATTGTTGTTACAGTTTGTGTCCTGATATTGCTGCGATGAAGGAAAGGAGTAAAAGTTTGGCGACTGTATCCTTAGTTGACTCGATGAAATCGCAGAATCGTAACTGGTGGAATCGGCGGTATAATTATTAAAAATTTGCTGCTGTCGATATGGCTCTTGCAAGCTGGCAACAGATTGGTTACCCTCGGCAATTGTCGGCGATGTTTTCGATACCGAGGTCACAGGGCCTTCCCAATTGTGCGAGGCGATTCGATTGTTGGAGCTGGAAACCGATGAGTCCTCTTGATTTGCATAGTAACCTTCTGTTATAGCTTCTTTGCCGTGTAGCAGAATCGTTTTCAATAATTTCTGCGATTCTTGACCATATTGTTGCGTATAATTTAATGATGAATTTTGCTGCATTTGTTGGTTTGGTGGCTGTTGAGGTCTTAGCTGATGTGTCGGCTGGTATTGTGGAATGTGTGGCGGATTGTGTGGTAGATTGTGTGACGGATTGTGTGGCGGATTGTGTGTCAGATTCTTTGGCGGGTTGTGTGGTAGATTGTGTGGCGGATTGTGTGGCGAATTCTGTGGTGGGTTGTGTGGTGGATTATTTGATGATTCCTGCGGCGACGGATTTTGCAAGATCTCTTTGAAAAATATAGTAAAGAGATCATCCTCGTTGAAATTCGGAATTGACAATAAGTTGTTCGAGTTTGCCAATGGAGACTCCATCTTGTTATATAAATTTAAATTTAATTTTAACTAATATCACAGCAATTCACAATATGCGCAAGTAGACACAGCCACGGACACACCTTACACGAACACACACGCTCACGTATTATATGTGTTCACAGGAATACGCACAATTCGTTTTTATCCATAAGAGACAGACTTGTACGGCAACGAATTTATTTCGTTCACTGATATATTGAGATTTCACTAGTATCACGAATGATCAGACGAACTTGATGCAGAGTTTTGTAGTCACACGTTTAGTCCGCACGGTAGTACCTTCAACACTGCTCCTAGTTCTCGTGTCTTTTTGCCGAATAGTTAGAAACTGAATGGTATGTCCGCTTCAGTTTTCAAAGATCTCTGAGGTTCTGGAGGTCCTAGAGGGGAAGAGGAAAGAGGGGGGAGAAGTCACGGTATAACGAAAATCACAGTCGTCAAACTTGCACTAGTACAATATGCACTACGCAGAATGGGGTCCTTTGGCGAAGGTGGAGGGGGTTTGCACTACCCTTACAACCTACTACCCTACCTAGCAAAAGTCCGCACGCTCTCTGTTGGCTTCTGTCCGACTCGAGGTTTCGCAGGGGGGTCCCAACCTCTGTCAGCTGCCTTTCTTCATTCAGTGCTAACGCCACCCCCGAATATACATTCGATTTTGATCTGCTACTCGTGACGCACAGTCCCCTCCCACTATTAACGCTATTGACACAAAATCCACGTTGGCTCCCCCACTTTCATCCCCCTTTCCAACGCGACCTCGCACAATGCAGGGTGCCATGTGCACGTATGAAACATCTTTGCTAGCAGGGTCGTTGATCCACGTTCGATTTGAAATCAGCTCTCTTATCGTTTCTATCAGACAAATATCTTTATAAGTTAATTTATTTTATATTAAAGTAAAAAGTGAGAAAATACCTTTCTATTCTTCTTCTTTTTTGCGATCTTTTTCGACTTTTTTACTCTTAATTCGATGCGCACTATCGTATAATTTCAATTTTACACTTGGATTAGACAACGATCATTTGTATGATCCTCTCTATATAAAGGCAAAATAAACAGTAATCGAAAATATAAAAGTACAAAAATGTTTATATTTCTTGTATACTAATTAGACGAGGTCGTAAAAACAGTCTATGTGGAATTCTTTACCAATATTTACAAATGTACTTAAAGAGGCTCTCAAGTCGAATCATAAAATTATGGTTTACAAAGCGAGAAAGTATTAGGGAGCTTAAGTGAGATGTATTGATTAACACACGATGGACAAGGCGTCAACGATAGGGTTAAAAGAACGGTTCGAGAATAATTATCCTTAACGGAAGATAATAGACGGCCTCACGGACAAACTATAAATAGCAAAGCGCGTCCGAAAAAAAGTGATTGATGATGCGCGTTCGAAGTGGTGACCAAACCTACGGGGATTGTAAACGGCTGAACGGACACGCGTCTGCACGCGCACACAAACGTTTGTTGCGCGTTACATATATATACGTATGCGGTTGAGTTTAGGCGTACATACACCGAACGTGAATGTCAGAGGAACGCTGCTTCGCGCTCTCACGCAAAATGCGTTCTGCGTTAGGTCGATCGTAATAAATAATAATCCTCGATGGGCCGATACTTGTGGGAAGGGACGAGAGCTCCGGACTTGGGAGCATTTCGTAATGATTTTAGCTATACTGACTTTATTTCTGCTGGCATCCCCGACATATAATGCGTTGTGCGAGAGAAAAATCTTTCTCATTTTTCAAACATTAAAATAAAAGAATTAGTAATTTAACTTCTTTTAAATTGATATTTTATTGCAATAAATATGCTATATATATATATATGTATATTTAAAAAAAATGTTTTCTTGTATTGTTAAGTAAAATTTATTTAAGTAGATTATTAAATTATAAAACAGAATGGACCGATACTTGTGGGAAAGGACGAGGGCTCCGGACTTGGGAGCATTTCGTAATGATTTTAGCTATACTGACTTTATTTCTGCTGGCATCCCCGACATATAATGCGTTGTGCGAGAGAAAAATCTTTCTCATTTTTCAAACATTAAAATAAAAGAATTAGTAATTTAACTTCTTTTTAATTGATATTTTATTGCAATAAATATGCTGTATATATTTATATATTCAAAAAATTTTTTTCTTGTATTGTTAAGTACAATTTATTTAGGTAGATTATTAAATTATAAAACAGAATGGACCGATACTTGTGGGAAGGGCGAGGGCTCCGGACTTGGGAGCATTTCGTAATCATTTTAGCTATACTGACTTTATTTCTGCTGACATCCCCGACATATAATGCGTTGTGCGAGAGAAAAATCTTTCTTATTTTTCAAACATTAAAATAAAAGAATTAGTAATTTAACTTTTTTTTTAATTGATATTTTATTGCAATAAATATGCTGTATATATATATTTTGGGAACGATTTTTCCTCAGCAAAAATGTCGAAAAAAGTCATCATTTTTTACAACTTTCCAATATTTGTCATTATGTATCTTTATAATTAGGCCTCAAATAAAAATTTTATTATAATAAACTTTACCCGAAATTAACTGAAGAATGTAATTATGTTAGACTTTTAACTCCAAAACGTTTAGTTTTCAAAAAACCCAGTTTTTTCAATCGCTTATAACTCGCAAATTATTGACTTCTCAACATTTTTGCTAAAAAAATCGTCTCCAAATTGGCCAGAGAATCCGCTCTTAATCATTGGTCCTTAGTTACCGGACACCCTGTATATATTAAAAAAAAATTTTTTTTCTTGTATTGTGAAGTAAATATGTATTTATATAGGTAGATCATTAAATTATAAAACAGAATGATCTGAACTATTCAGTTTAAAATATCCGTATCCAAAAATATGATTTGTATTTCTTTACGAGTTTTTTTACTCATAATCAAATTCTAATATACACGTTTTTGTACACGCGCTGTTTTTTTTCTATTGTACGGAAAAAACCGAGGACGGATTTTACTTAAAATGTTGCAGGTAATAAAATTTTCAAGACATTTTACAAGTCTGCTGCTCTTCAGTGGTCCAATAAAGAATTCATCTATTGTCGACAAATACAAAGCCGCGAGAAGGTTGCGAAGGACGAAACTATAATGTAAGAATTTCTATAGAAAGTATCTCACCATATTCTGTACGTCTTTGTAACAATAAGTTATAAAACTTTCACTTTTTCCGGGTATTTCTTTTTGAATCCGGAACTAAATAGGTTAAAAATGTTTCACATAACCTTGAGTTCAATTAGTTTTAGTATACAATTTTTCCACCTATAGTTAAGTAACATTTTCCACTTACAAATATCCTACGGAAATCATAAATTATCCGAAACTTAGCTTTCAATAGTTTACTAATAAATTATACGTCACGGGTGGGTGACTTTTATTACAAGTCATTGTATTATATGTATTTAATATATATTTTGCGCGTACAAAAAAATAAAAAATTTAATTATAACAGATAAAATATATACAGCATATAAGAAACAATTTGGCATTAATTGCTAGTTAATGTATTAGATCGTAAATTCGCATTATATAGAATGCGGTAGCATCTCGTAGAGTAACATATGTGCCTATGTACTCCCTGTCCGATTGTTCGCCATATGAGCAACGATGGAAGTAAGGAGTTTTCGTTACTGTTAGAGGTGACATTTGCAGCCATTTGGGAAAATTGGGATTTTCGGGATCAAGCCAGACGGCATCTATTATTGTGCGATTGATTTATATATTTCGTATTTGCGATGTCGCATTATGACAAATTACTGCCACACGTGATTTTATATATATTAACACAAAATGACAATTTACCGCAAAATTTCATTATTTTGTTTAAATTTATTAGATTTATTTGTCTTAAAGAATTTAAGAATTAAATAGTTTCCGATTTTTGTAAACAGGGATAGAATAAAATCAGAATTTTATAAAATGAGACGTAATACGACAGAAATGACGGGACATTTCACTAAATTTACAATTTCATGCGTAATTAGTAATGGTATCTTTTATGTTTTCTCTTAATTGACGCTTGCCTCAGTCATTCATCAAAGCGATGCGCGTTGCTCTTTAACGTGTTACATTCAGTGGAAGTATCTCTTTATACGCCTTTTACTTTGCATATGTTGTCAACATCTAGATAGAATGCTTTCTTAAACGAGCATTTCTAAACGGAGCAAAAAAATATCTCATTCTTCGGTGTTTAACTGGTAACTTTACACTCTAAAGAGAAAATAATAAGTTCTTTCTTCGTGCTTTATTAATATGTCTAATATATTCCTTATTCCTATAACGTATCAGAACATCTTGTTAAAAAACTTTCCGAAAAAAAATAAACTGCCCATACAAGCTATAGACGCCGATTAAATTTTCTATACCACCTTCCTCTCGAGAATACGAGAAAATAAACTAAATTTAGGACGCTAAATAACTATTGCACAGTGGAATATATTTTTTTATTTTAAGTTTAATCCAAGAAAACAATGCGTTGAAACGTAATAAATTTTTAGATACTCAGAATGCCACACGTGTATAATTAGTAATCAGGATTATGATAAAATGAGCCCACCGAATAGCTCCAAAAAAAAATGTTGGATCAATTAATAAGGACTCGATGCTTCTCGATAAAAAAGAAACATTTTTCTATATTTTATTTTTATATTGGATGCATTAAAAAATTGAACACATATATAAATACATCGAATGGAACGGAGAAAGAGAGAGGCAGGAGGGATTATCGATCCAGCGTTTGTTTGCGTAACGTGTTTACTTCTCGCCGCGGATATCTTCCCTCCTCGCGCTTACTCGAGGGCACCCTCTCGCGACGAGCCGAACTCAGCGGGGATGGATTCCGCGATGGTTGGAAGGCGCGGCTGCGAAAGGGGGCGCGGGAGGGAGTAGAACGTTGGAAATATCATTTATCACGGACAGGACTGTCAATCTCCGCCGCATTGATACGATGATAGTCCGCCGACGTCACGATGCCTCGCTAGCTGCTCATCCGCCGTGGAACCGCCGACGTTTCTCGTTGGGTGTGCGTAGGATGATGTTCCGTCACAACGTCGTAAATTAAAGCGATACGTTATATGCGCGCTCGATCGTTTTATACGACATTTATGTGACTATTTTAATTATGTATATCGACATAATTTTAATTCGAAATTTATATCGGGAATAAATCTCCACATTCAAGTGTAAATAATTCATCTGCTAATATATATTGGAAGAAGGATGTAAAATGAGGCGATAGATTTCGAATTAAAATAACTTGTTTAGAAGCGTCAATGAAGCATTAATATAGAATATATGTATAGACACTTTCGAAATTTTAGCAGCCTTTTATATTTATTTTTATATTATGTTGATATTTTCTTCTTATATACGCGAAGAACCCGTAGATCCATTTTAAAACGGGACGTATGTATCGGGTGACGGAAGTTAATGAGACTTTTGCGTGTACCGGAAACCATTGAATTCTTCTGCCGCTAGGGAAGACAACTTCCACCCTCTCCTGTTGTAAGCTGGTGTAACAGCCACTCCCAAATTTTGCACGCACATTAAATACTTCATATATTTAAGAAACTGTCCATCTAACCGACGAAAAATAATTTCGCACGATTAAGATACCGATAACAATCTAATTATGACACTTTATTTGGACACTAATAATAATTATGCATTTATAAAAAGAGAATATTAACACATTTAATATAATAAATATGTATATTAATTAGCGAAGTAGTATATGTTTAGTCACATCTTTCATTTTTAAAATAGATTTTTAAAAAATATGTAAAACAATCTTTTGTAATATATCGCATCTTATTGCATAATTATCATTTATATTTTACTCAGCATTTCGCCATTGGTTTATATGTATATATATATATATATATATATATATATGTATATGTTGTTTAAAGCTTCGCTCGTTAAACTATACTACATATCTCGCTGCAAGAAAGCAGCGTCATAAATGAATGCAAAAATAACGCCTTAGGGATCCTGCATGCGCTATGATGTAAG